GTCGTCACCGGTCAGGGAGAACATATGGTATTTGTCCCTTTGGGATGTCTTACTATCTGATAGTTACATCTTTTTTTTTTTTTTTTGGGTGAAAAAAAGTATGCTGGGGACTTGCACTGTGGTGTAGCAGGTAAAGCTGTTGACTGTAGTGCCGGCATCCCATATGGATGCTGGTTCAAGTCCTGGCTGCTCCTTTTCCAATCCAGCTCCCTATTAATGTGTCTGGGAAATCAGCAGAGGATGGCTCAAGTCCTTTGGCCCCTGCACTGACATGGGAGACCTGGGAGAAGCTCTTGGCTCCTGGCTTCATATCCACCCACTTCTGACCATTGTGGCCTTTTGGGAGTGAACCAGTGATGGAAGATTAGGGTCAGGATTAGGATATACAGGTGCTCCATGGTATAGGAGCACACTGTTCTTGCCTTTCGGTGTCTGTAGATCAATACTTAAAAAATAATAACAACAACAATTAGAGCTAAACTATATATTTCACTTAATATCTACCAGACATTATATGCTTTCACATGCTGTCCCATGTATTCACAGCAAAAGATGCTAATGGATACATTTTATTATCCTTGTTTCATAGATGAGACAACAGAGTTAAGCAATTTCCCCAAAGTCCTATAACTATTCATTGACAAAGTCGGATAATGAGCCCAGGCAGTCTGGCCTTGGAGGCCGTGTTCTTCACCATGAGTGGACTCAATGACACAAACATACTCTCGCTACACAGCCTCACACGGAGGCTCAGATGGAACTTCAAAGAAAAGTCACCACATGTTTGAGTTAGCAATGTAATCGGGAAATTTGGAGAAAACCCTATTAGGTAGAGTTATTACCTTGTTAGTTAAGGTTTGAGGGAGATTTTTACCTCTCCCCTCCAAATAAAACAAAGCAACAAACATAAAACTCACTGCATAGCAGACTGGGGTTTTGGAGGGTCTGTATTATCCAGATTATTGGATTCATACAGTTGTAAGTCCCTTGCTTAACCAGGCTTGTGTAAATAGGATCAGTCCCTTGATCTGTCTGAGAGAATTTTTTAACTTGTCACTAAGAGCCAAATCCTTTTCTGCTCTGAAAGATATTTATAATTTGTTTGTGATTTATTGAAATATGCTTGTCTGTGAGCATCTGAAAACTTCAGTTCATTTAACTCCTTGCTGCCCACTTCACACTCCTGGAAAATTCTTCAGAGACGTATCTATGAGATCTTATTCTTTGAAGTTTATAAAAGGGCATGCTTAATAGGACACACAATTCATGTGGCCACTAAAAACCATTTATTTATCTGAGAAGCAGAGAGACAGAGTTCCCATCTCCTGGTTCACTTCTGAAAATACCTTCAAGGGCTGGAGTTGAGCCAGGCTGGAACCAGGAACCAAGAACCCAATTAGATGTATAGATGGCAAGGGCCCAATTACTTGAACCATCCCTGCTGCCTCCTAAAGTCTGCCTTAACAGGAATCTGGAGTCAGGAGTACAACCCAGGCACTGAATCCAGGCACAGTGATGTGGGACATGAACATCTCAACAGTTATCTTCATCACTAAGCTGAATACCACCCACTCCATTTTCTTTATTAAGGTCCTTAGTGACCACAACAGGTGGTTATGGATTACAAAGATGGCCACAAGTCCCCTCATACATTTGCTTCTTTTTGGTAACTTTGGTAGGGGAACTTTGGTTAACATTGCAGTTTTAGGAAATTTATTATCCTCAAAAATTAATGATGCTCAAAGACATTTTCTATCGGAAGTATCTTTTATGATTAATATCTAAAAACAGCATAACATGATTACCCTAGCTACTTCCTTTGGTCAGATAATCTTTCTAATATACATAAAATGTCAACACTTCAAATACATTTTAGTTTTTCACCTCTGTGCTTTATATCCTTTATTAATCCACCTCTTAGAGGTGGATAGGAAATTATGCCTTTTAACAAAAATTAACACTTCTTACTTAGATATCTTGTTTCCCCTATTATCTCATTTTTGTCTGCTTATTTTTGTTTGTCTTACTTTTCTCCCAGGCATCTTCTTTCTTATTTTAACTTCCAGCCATACTTCTCAGTAGTAAAAGTAAAAGTAGTAAAAGGTAGCCTGCCCCAGGTATTGTTATAGTAACAGAAAGCTGACTCCATTGGTCCCCCTAACAAGGTTGGAGAGTGTCTTGCCATCTCAAGATCCCTAACTGAATAATGTGCTAGAACATAGTCACAGGTTTTGGAGATTAGAATATGGACCTCTTCAGGGGTCCATTATTCTTCCTACCTCAAAGCTGTTCTATGGCCAGCTGCTTGTCTTTTATGACTATCAGTATCAGTCTTAGGCAAATTGGAGTCAGCTGGACTATTGCAATTTGAGTTCTATTTTTACCTTTTTTGAATCCTTCTCTGCATGCAAACCCAAATAACAACTGTGCACCGATGAATCTACAGAACAACATGGGTTCAAACCCTTGGGGCTTTGTTGGTCCATGCATTCTTTGTGCTTGATGCAGAGAATCTATTGGGTTTTGAAATCTTAGCACTAATGGCTGGTACATTTCTGAGGTATTGTGGCCACCAAACACATAAGGCAAATGTAATCCTCTGGATAAAGGCTCCAAATCCACACAATCCCTACGCTATCTCTCCACTAAGATCTGATAGTTCTGAGAGCTTGTAAGAGTTGTTAATGTTCCTTTTCATGGCAAATTTACACAAAGCATGCTATAAGAACATCGCATCATCCATATTGAATGTGTAACCAACCATCAGTGTCAGCCACAGCAGAAAATGACTTTTCTACTGACATTTTAAGACAGAGTGCCTTGTCACCATACTTATAGAAACCGGCGTGGAGAGTAAGAAGAACGGGCTGGTGAGATGACAGACTCCAGGCAGTGGAGTTGGGCAAAGAGGGTTGTAAGATATAAGGCTAAACACAGTGGAAAAAGTATCAGAGGAATTCAGAGAGATGAGGAGAGAAGAGCAAGGGAGAAGTCAGGGCTTGTTATTCCATAGTTTGGCCTGGGGACACTGAGCTGGGAAACCAAAAGACTAGCCAAGTATGGAGGTAAGAAGGCAGGGGGTGGGGGCTTGCTGGATTTACTAGCAGGGCATTCAAGTGGAAATGGGGAACAAGGAATTGACTATGAGGCTCCGGAGGGAGGTCTGGGCTTGGAAACCTTGTTTGATGACTCTTCAGTATCAGTGTGGTAATTGGGAACTCTACAGGTGGGAGTATACCAGGTTCAAAGAGAAGACTGAGATCCTAGGAGCAAGCAGAAGAAAAGCTTGGGAGGCAGACTGAGGAATGGTTAGAGGTGACTGGAAAATCAGAAAGAGCTGACTCCATACCAAAAATCTGCAGTTATGGTTTTGGTCCCGATCTTTGAAACCCCTTTAGTCACAGTTAAAGGTGCCTTGAAAACAGTTTCTTTGTATATAAAACTGGGGCCATAATTCCTCACTCACAATACAGGGTTCTGAGGTTTGGATAAAAAAAAAGTCTTTGAAGTGTGACACCAGTGGTTCCCAAACTTGGATGTGCACGAAATGAACAGAGGGCTTGTATAAATACAGATCGGTATGTATTTTGTTTAAAAATTCAGTCTTTTTTTTTTTTTTTAAGATTTATTTATTTATTTGAAAGAGCTACACAGAGAAGGAGAGGCAGAGAGGGCTTCCATCCACTGGTTCACTCTCGAATTGGCTGCAACAGCCAGAGCTGTGCTTGCATTGCTTTCCCAGGCCGTAGCAGAGAGCCATATCAGAAGTGGGGCAGCCAGGTCTCAAACCGGTGTCCATATGGGATGCTGGCACTGCAGGTGGCTGCCTTATCCGCTGCACCCCAGCGTTTTTGATTCAGAAGATCTGTGCTGGGATCCTGGCATTTGAATTTTTGTGTGTCAGGTGACACTGATGTTACCTGTGAACACGACTATGTAACATGAACGTAAGGAATTTAGTCTTGATTTGACAAAATTCCCTGCTTCCCTCCAACGTGACTCCTGTTCCGTCCCCTAATGTTGCTGTCACCCTGCTTCCTGCCAGCAATCATCCTTTCACCCCTGTGAACCATCCGCTTAGTGCAGTAGCCTGCAACCGCCCGAGGGTAGCCTGCTTAGAAAGCAAACATTTCTCATGGGGAAAAGGAGGTGAGAGCTCTTAGGGTAAAAGGTGGGATCCCAGGCCCCTCTCTGTCCCAAAAGTCAGTCCCATGTAAAATGTTACTTGTTACCAACTTTCAGAATTCCCACTAGAGACCTTGTAATTTGAGCCAGATGAACTGCAGGAGAGTCAAAGAGAAAAAATTGACTGCGTGCTTCAGTCCAACACTTTCCTTTCCAAATCCGCAAAGCAGGGACTCAGGAAAACGTCGTCAGCACCCTAGTACAGGGCAGGAACGCGGGGCTGGAGCAGACGCAGCCCCGTGGAGACAGGCCAACCGGGGCCGGGGGTGCGAAGCGCGCCCTGGGCACAGACGGGAGTGAGGACCTGGACGCCCCAGACAGGGACAGAGCTTTGCCTTGGGGCGCTGGTACATGAGGGAGGACAGGAAACGCCGCGCAAGAGCGCTGGCGGCCAGGCTGGAGGGCTGGGCGTTTAGCTTCATCGCAGCCCTCTTGGAGGCCATTTCTCCATTTTCAACGGGATAAAGATGGTGCGCTGAGCTAGGCTGGTCGCAAGCCGCAGCAGGCGCCTCCTCCACCGCCAACCTCGCTCTGGCCCCAGGCCCTGGAGAGAGAGGTGGCCTTCGCCAACGCCTAAGTTACTCAGCGAAGGGGGCGGGGTCTCCCAGCTCCCACCCAATCACGGCGTTCGCTCTCGCTATCTGCATATATTATGCTAATGCGGACCTCCCGCTCCGCGGCTCCGGCGCCCCGCCCCGCTCGCGTCTGGGGCCGAGCCGCGAGCGCGCGAAGGTGAATACATTATGATAATGAGGCGGGCTCCCGCGGGGGGTGCTCTGCGGCGGGAGCTGCTGGGCGGGGGTCGGGGGAGGGCCGAGGCGCTCGCCGCGCGCGCACTCACACCCGAGCATCCCGAAGGGTATTTAAGGCTCGCAGCCGCAGGGGCCGCGGAGAGACCGTGGGCAGCGGCAGCTCGGGCCCTTTGGCTCTCCTCTTGCCTGACCGCCCTCTGGCGCCCCTCTCGTGGTCTCTCGGCCTCCCAGCCTCCAGCCCAGTCCAGGTGGGAAGCAAGCCGGCGTGCGGAAAGACACCAAATAGGTGGAAATAAGGCCAAGTAGTGGGAACGCAACAGGTCCGCGCTCCGCGGCGGGGCGAGCGGCAGCCCCTCATCCGCTGTCCCTCGGACCCCGCGCGGCCGCTCCCGGGGACCTCGGAGGAGGTGTCCGGTGGACTTCCTTTCGGTTTTGACGCGGTCCCCCGACGGAGGTGCTCTTCACGCCTTTCTGGGAGGAGGGAGGCAGGCGGAGGATGGTCCTCGCCCGCTGGTCCGGACGCTGAGGCACGCCGAGGTCCCTCTCCGCGTCCCGCTCCCGCGCCAACTAGTTGTGCAGCCACCGGGACTGAACTTCGGAGGACTCTCCCCGTTTATTTCTTTTTACAATTATTGGAGGTGGTCGAGGGTGGAAGGTGAAGCTGAGGCAGCCGACCCCGCCACGATGCTGGTGAAGAAGCACACGGGGAAAGGAGGAGGCCGGGAGCCCGGACCGGCGGACGCGAGCCCCGCGGGGCAGCGCTGCGCTGCGGCTGGACCCCAGTGCGCGGCCTTGGCAGCCCTCCTGTCAGTGGTGGCCATCCTGTCTTGTCTGTACCTGGGGGTGAAAACCAATGACCTCCAGGCGCGGATAGCCGCTCTGGAATCGGCGAAAGGGGCCCCTTCCATTCCTCTGCTGTCTGATACCGAGGATCAGCTCAAGGCCATGGTGCAGGAGAAAGTGGAGCGCCTTCTGGCTCAGGTGTGAGAGGCTGGGGTGTTCTGTGCGTGGGTAACATCTTGCAAAGGGGGCATTCTGTGTGCTTGGCTGTGTGTGCGGTGTTAGGCGCCCATCTGCGCTCCTTGTGGCTTGTGTTTGTGTCTGCACATCCCTGGATAAGGCCGCCTCTGTCTGTCATCTTCACTCACTCTTCCTCAATGTTGGCTAAACATGCATGGAGATCTAAAAGGGCAAGGTTCTAGTTTTGTAGCCTAATGAGATTCGTTGCTAACTGTATGGAGACTGTTCCTTGTCTAGATAACATCTGTGATAACCTTCATGTGTGGTAAGAAGGTTGGGGTTATAGGTGTTAGTAATACACAAAAAGGTTATCACTCTTAAAAGTGAGATTATTCTGATTAAAATAAATATTTTACAATTGAACCTTCTCATATTAAGAGTTTAAACTTTATTTTTTAAAAAATAGCTTTATCTTTGGTAATGGGTACAGAGCTTGGCGTACTTAGGAATTCACAGTCCTTTCAGTTGGGAGTTGAAAGGAACCTGTGTTGTGTTTAATGATGGCTTTAGAGTTTGCAGGTTTTCTAAAACTTTTCCAGCAGAGAGGCTGTGTGGCAGTGGCTGCCACACAACACCATAATGCCTTTGACATTCATATATAAAATACTAGCTGTTCCTGATAAGCTACAGCTTACCTGGAACTGCAGCATATGAGTGCTGGGTTTATGCATTGAGTGTGTATGCTTGAGCCAAGGGAGAAGGGTGGTAGCAGTTGAAGAGTGGAGAAAAATGTTGTACAAATCCTCCAATCCTGATACCATGTCAATGACCATTTTCTTTTTTTAGGGCTAGGGTACTGTTACCTTTTGACTAAAGTCCAAGTACGTGGTAATGTTATGCAGGCTATGAAATGCTGATCAATCAGGCATACAGCCAGAGAGTACCTAATTCTCTACAATGCTACTGATGATTGTTAATACTTCTCTTCCTACAGAAATCCTATGAACATATGGCTAAAATAAGAATTGCAAGAGAAGCACCTTCAGAATGCAACTGCCCAGCAGGTAAAATGGAACTTATTTAACAAGGTTGTCTCCAGAGCAGAGCATTTTAAAACAAAGGTCTTGAGTCTGCCAAGTCTACCTGTAATAATAGTAAAGAAAGAATGCAGACCCAACTTGCTTTAATAAAATCAACATGTCTCAGGCAAAAGGATGGCAAAAAGGGCCTCAAATATTATTTTAAGAAGCATACTAAAGTCTGTTGTGGGATAGCAAAGGACACAGATAATCACGAAGGAAAAATACAGGCAAAATGATGTATACAGACAAAAGTTCTTAGATTCACAAATTGAAAAATATTCTTTGAGTTGTATGAACTTTTTTAAATGTCTGTGGTAAAGCGGGCTATAGAACTGTTGGATTTAAATGCTTTGGTGGCTAATGTTGCATTAAATGCAGGTTTCTTTTATGTGCCCAGTGGCATGTGATTATATTGGGAATCCCCTTCTACTTTTCATGTCCACATTTTCCTAGTCTACAGAAGAGTTCTCTATCTAAGGACTAAAAGCAAATTAATTCTTTATCTGGAGCCTCTCACTACAAACCATTTCATTCACAGTGACTTCTCTGAAAAGATTCTTGTGTGTTTACCATTTTTCTGTGTAGCTTCAGGGAACTGGATAAAGACAGCATGTGAGAAGGAGAGAGACCTATCAATCAATAGTACTCATGAAATCTTCCTTCATAGACCTTTGAAGTTTGGTGGTTATCTGTCAAACTAACATTTAAAAACTCTTGGAATATGGCTATTGGGAAAATCTAGTGGAGTCAACAGAGACAAGACATTAACTAACACTCCTATGAGATGTCTTGAGATGTTTATTTCAGATAAATGCTGTTAGTTTATTTATGGACAATTCAGTTTCTTTTACCACACATGTAAAGTGTTACTTTTAATGTTAGGAACATGATAGATATTTAAAGTGCCATGAATTATATAGTGATGTTTCAGTGAATGCTGGACCACATATACCATGGTGGACCCATAAGGGTACATTGCCTAGTGACAACGACCAGCCATCCTAGTTTGTGTAAGTACACTCTGATGTTGGTAGAACAATGCTTAACAGTGTAATTCTCAGAATGTATCCCTGTCTTTAAGCCATGCATGGGTGTGTATGGAAAGGCTAGTTCCTGTAGTTTTTTCATAGTCTGAGATTGTTTTCTTTCCCCTTAATAACTTGTTTTGATATAGCCCAACCAAGCACCATGTTAAATTTTAAGTGCCAACTCCAGCTTGTACATCATAAAATTTTTACTGTGTATATTCTACTATGTTGTTAATCATAATGGAGCTGTAATTTTTAAGTAAGCCTTTTGATCAGAAGACATGCACCAAGTAACAGGAAAACAAAGAGTTAACACTTGACATTGTAGGATTCGTTCTTAGTTGTTTTAAGTTGGAAAAGACCTCAGAAGTCAGATATTCAAGGAAGGCACTTTTCTAGTGCAGGAATTAACTCACAACAGCCTCATCAGCCTGTGGGGATTATTTAAATTCCCAGGACAGTTGGTAGAGGACTTCACTGATCACACCAATTAGAGTCCAGCATTGTGTGTGTGTGTGTGTGTGTGTGTGTATGGTAGCTTTACTAGCTGTATGAAAAGTAGCTAGTGTTTATAATTGTTATAATTCTTAGAGAACTTGGTATAAAGTAGAATAGTGAGACCCCTAACACTGACTTCAATTTTCTGAAAAAGATGTAAGTGCTGCATAATGTTTAGTTAGGCTAGTTATTGAAGACTAGCTTGTGATCTGGAAGAAAGCTGTTACATTTAGAATTTACTTTATCATGGAAGATTATTTTGAACTAGTTTTCACATCAACACGTCAACATAATAATGAAGAGTGACTTTCTTGGCTTTTTTTGTTGGCTCTCACTAGCAGCTGCTTTACTTTCTTGCTACCACTAGAGCCCCACATTGCATCAGGGTTTACTTGGCAAGTTGCGAGGTAACCTTTGGAAGGTGTGCATTCCATGACATAGAATCAAACCAATTTGTTGCTGACAAACCTCTATTGCATAAACACTTCCTTTGGCCTGTGGAATAATCTGAATCATGCAAATAAAGGCATTATGTTGAAAATAGTATACTGGGGGAAACTAGTTATTTTAAGTTATGGTCAGTGAGGTATTGTCTTAGAGAATGAATGGCTGGCCAAGAGGATTAGAAAGGAGATTGGGCACTTCCCCCTAGGTTTACTGTAACCTTGGTTTGCAGCAACTGAGTCGTCACTCAGACATCTGTTTGTAGGGCAGAGTGAGACAAGTCTGTGACCTCAGCTCAGTTCCTGTGGACAGATGCCCACCCCTTGAAGTTGACACTCTTGTTGACAGTCTGCATCACAAAGCCAGAGACCAATTCTGAAGAACTAGCACTGTGTGTTTATGTTTGTTATAATTGCTTTTGATAGAATTCATCTCCAGTGAGGTTTATGCAGGTAGGCTGTAAAGGAATCAGATTTTATAAATAAAAAAAAATACCCAGGAAGGTAGCTCTGCAGCAGGGGGATGAGAAAGACACCTTACTGGATGTCTTCTATTTACAGGAAACACTATAATTTTCCCAACTGCTAAATGAGTAAAGTATTGGTAATGTCATTTCACAGATGAGGAAACTGGTACTTGAAGGAAGTGATTAACTTAACAAGGCAAGGATTCATGCCCATATCTGTCAAACTCAAAAGCCCAAAGTTTAATGAGAATAAGAGTGAAGGGCCAGCACTGAGGCATAGCAGGTAAAGCATCCACCCATGACACTGGCATTCCATATGGGCACAAGTTCATGTCCCTGCTGCTCCACTTTTTTTTTTTTTAATATTTTTTATTTGAAAGTCAGAGTGAGAGAGAGAGATACCAAGATCTTCCATCAGCTGGTTCACTCCCCAATTGGTTGCAATGACCAGAGCTGGGTCAATCTGGAGCCAGGAGCTTCTTCCAGGTCTCCTACCTGAGTGCAGGGACCCAAGGACTTGGGCCATCTTCCACTGCTTTCCCAGGCCATAGTAGAGAGCTGGATCAGAAGTGGAGAAGCCAGGACTTGAACTGGTGCCCATATGGGATGCCGGCACTTCAGGTGGTGGCTTTACCCACTATGCCACAGTGCCGGCCCCTGCTGCCCCACTTCTGATCTGGCTCTCTGCTAATGGCCTGGAAAAGCAGCAGAAGATGGCCCAAATGTTGGGTGCCTGCTGCCCACTTAGGAAACCTGGAAGAAGCTCCTGGCTCTTGGCTTTGACCTGGTCAAGCCCTGACCATGTGTGGCCATCTGGAGAGTGAACCAGCAGATGAAAAAGCTTTCTGTAACTCTGACTTTCAAATAAGTGAATCTTTAAAAAAACCAAAGCAATAAAGGTATGTTTTAGAGCTGGATTGGAATTCTGCATCTGCTACTAAACAACTGATCCTGGCCAAACTAGTGAGATTCTCTATTTTCCAGTTTCTTCATTTGCAAAAAATGGCCAATAATACTTTGCTTATAAGGTGATAATACTTGGACAATGTAACATATTACTAACTGTTCATTAGATAACAATTGGTATTCTGGTACTGTGTACCATTTAATTCTAATCTAGTCCACAGAGACACATGATATAAATGGGAACAATGAGACTTGAGATGTTATAAAACTTGCTTCAAAACCCAGTGGCTTATTAATGGCAGCTTTTGGACTAAAACACTATGGTTAATTAAACTAGTACATCTGTAGTTCATTTATGCAGATAATCATACATGTCAGTATCTCTCTTACTGCTATCTCAGTGAAATTTGGTTCTTTACAGGCATTTCTGTTAGTTCGTACATTATTTTTTGCCAAAATCACATGGAAGAATTTTGACCTTTTAAATATAGCAACTGAAGTAGCATGGGGATAGTAAAGAATGTCTTTACACTTTTTCATATGATGTTTACAAGAGATTATATATCTACCTCATTGTCAGACCTAGGTTTTAACAGCTTTATTGAAGTATAACTTATAATATTTATCCATTTTAAGTAAATTTATAGTTGGACAACTATCCCCACAACACAGTTGTAGATCTTCTGTGTCACCCCCAAAATATTCCCATTTTCTTTTTTCATGTGCCCAGGAAAAGCTCTATTTTTAAATGTATTTGCTTTTAGGAAACTCCCACATAATTTTTGAAGATGCATACAAATTGAAGCTCTGTTCAGCAGAATATTTGATTTAGCAGTAGCTGAGCCATAGAAATTCCATTGGCATTGGTGGCTTGGCTGATGTAAAATTTGACTCTGATGTGAGAGAATGACTCTTTGCTATGGCTGTAGAATTCTGTTTTGGGTTCTGTTTTTTGAGTCCTGCATAAAGTATGTATAACCCAGGCATATTTCTGGAAGAGTTCGCATGCTCCAACTGATAAAGAACAGTGGGAGCCAGGCAGCCTACCAAATGGAGTTAGACCACAAAAGTCTGTACGGTATTTATCAGTCATGTTGCTGTCCAGGGTATTAGATGTAAGACCCTCTGTTGTGTAATAGAGAATGGGAATGGGGACCAAAGAATCCAAAGTTCTGATCCTGGCTTTGTCATTAATATGCTATACAATCTTGGGCGGATTTTTCCAAGAACAACTTTTTGAGACTATTTTCAAATCTCCAGAATAGGAATGATGTACAGTAATGGTCTGTGAAGCACATTTGTCAGTTCTCTATAGCTGAAGAGCCTGCCATAAATATACCAAATACTGCACTAGAAAATAAGGAAAGTGCTGATGTTCAAGGTCAACTCAATATCTGCCCGCATGGAGTTGCATATCAAAGAGGATTATGGTTATTTTGAAGTGACATGAATATACAGGTGTGACAAGTACAGCTCAGAAAAAGCATAATATAATTTGAAGCACATGACAAGTTAGTATTTTTATTTTGTAAATACTACAGATTTTTTTCCATTGGGAGGAAAAAGAAATGTATACTTCTCTTTTGAAATTCATAGTAGTGGGAAATCTGGCTTCTGATGAGAAATAAAAGCTCTAGTAA